ATATTTTAGACTTCAGTACTGGATACCTGCGAATTTTTGAACGTCACTAAAGGCCTACTACCTACTCGTTGAAAATAATTCGGACGAACCAGATCGGCACCGACAGTCTGGTCTGGTGAACGAAAATGTTCAAAACAGAGTAACGTACACAAATTATGGAGAACATTTGTTTTTAAAAGAATGTACGTAACTGTACATCGGGAACTACAAGAAGAAAGAAACGACTAAACCAAAATGTTCGCAAATGTTCAAAGAAGAAAGCGGCATCATTTAAAAAATCAGCTATTTGACATCCTTCCTTCTATCGGGGCATTCACCATGGAGAGTATTAACAAAACGAAAATCCTCATTAAACAGTTCTTCTTTTTCTAACGGATGGACTTGAAGCAACCTACCATCATTGAGGAGGAGGAGGAGGANGTTCTTCTCCACGTTTCCGAGATAGTCACAGGAGACGGGAGGAAGAGAGAGAAAGCGAGAGTTTGACTGAAGAAGCCGCAATCGAACAGAACACCTGCGATGAAGAAAACTCAAGTGATAATGCCGAAAATCAGAATCCACGGACTGAAACGGACGGAATCGTTCCGTCCGGTTTCAGAATTCTGAGAAAAAGGGTTCTCTGCCCGAAAACCCAGACAGGAGACAGAAGCTGTGAGGGCCCGCATCCGGTCCCAAGGCGTCAGTTTTCGTCGCCGATTTCTTATCTTGCCCGTTTTGCTTCACTCATTCACTTCAGGCAAACCACAGGGGGAAGGGGAGAGACCGCCCAGCGTGTTGGAATCGGGCGGGAGAAAATCGCCCGACAAGCACAAGATATGCGAGAGGGAAAAAAGGCTCGAACTCGCCGCTCCTCTGACGTAAGGACGATCCGAGATTTTCGAGTGAGCCCTGGAGAGTATGGATTTTCATGTAAAACAGGGCTCACGTGGAAATTCAGTTACACTTTTTGGTCGAAGACCGACGAATTGGACTTCTTTATGCAATAAGGATATACAATTTCAGGCTCATCTGTAAAAACACGTAAGTACATAGGGAAAGTAATGGCACATGGCGTTGTTCTTAGACATTGCTAGAAATGATAGTTCCGAATGGCAAAATTTACTTCGATTGAGAGATTGAAAAGAACAACAATCGACACATTTTGCTCGGCGTCAGGAAAACCGGAAATCGCGCCCCAAGTGCAATAGGACAGAAAAATCAAAACAACACTGCAGCAGCCTTTGAAACTTTGGCAAGAGGGGTTGAAAGGTCTTCCAACTTTCGAAAATACTAAATTAGGATCATTTAGAGGATACCCTATTGAGTACAAGATTTAGTCTCAATTTTCAACAAACGACGTGGAAACATTTCACAGAACTGTATTCTCACACTGAGCAGCATTTTTGAATTAGGTACTAAAAATGTAGCGAAACTTCTCTGTTTCAATGAAATTGCTCAAATTTTACACGGGATTTTCTAATGTTGGAAAAGTAATCCCTTGAAAATCTGCGAAAAGGAAAGTTGGGGGGGGGGGGGGGCAAGCAACAGCTTGTACGATTGGGTTGAAATGATAAGTTCCAGTTAGACACTTCAAAATGCAAAAAGAAAGATGAGGAATTAAAGGAAAGCTCGAGATGACGGAAACATAAAAATCCTAATTCAACGACTCAACCTTCCTCGATGGACTTATAGCTCACATTGATCATACGTGGAGCCTTCAAGTAATAATGAACAATTTAATAAACCAATGAAGTAACATAAGGAGAGGCTGCAATAACATAAAAAAACCGGGACGTTTTGAAAAAATAACAATTTCATTTTCTACTGGGGAAAAAACCAAAAAGGAGTCGTCGATTTCTCTCCAATCAATATATTTTCCTACTCTTTTCAAAGCAGACAAAACTTGCGAAATTACCATCTGAAGGTACAAATGAAAGACACAATGTAAATGAAAAATTCATATTATTTTCATTGAACAACCTAGGAATTCTCAGATGAGGGAAAGGTAGCGTGGTGTGTCTAAATTGGTAACCTGAAATGAGAGGGTTCAAAAATATTCATGGAGGGGCTTGGAGGACAAGGCTCATTCAGTACAGGATTTAAAAAAATTGAGATATTCATAAACTCATATAAATCTAATTTGAGAGTAGGCATGTTCTTAGAAAACTCACAACTAAAATCCAACTTTAAAGCATCAAAAAGTGAGTTTGAACTTCCTTTCCGCCATTAGGCCCCACGAAATTTTGAAACTACCTAGAAACACATATTTCTTGGAATAGAAAAAATTCAAAAAATTTCTGTGCGCTTTGTCCTCCAAGCCTCTCCATTTAAAAACTTGGCAAAATTTCTTTCCAGTGAGTTGCGGTATGAAAGAAGAGGAATGAATGAAGAGAGAAAGAAACAGGAAAATCACAAGGGTACCTAGATCACATGACAAGTAGGTAATACATATTTACACCTTAGTTGGGCAGAATTTAAATCAGAAGTAAGTAAATTATCTCAAACCTCGATCACAGACCAAACCGTGATAAACAGAAGCAGTAGTAGCCAAAATTTCCCATCGAGAGAGCCCATCACAAGATTCAGTTCTGCGTGAGGTTGAAAAGCTTCGCTTTGACCGGAGAAACCGACGCGAAGAAACGAAATCACACCACGACAAATCGAATTTCCTCACGATTTAATTGCACGACGAAATACAAAACAACGCATACGAAATACAAAACGATGCGATCAAAATGAAAAACATGACGAGACGGAAGGCGAATCGCGCAATGCAGTTCCGAACTTCCGAACGCGTGTACCGACAAAACCTCGAGACCTCATGGTGAGCGAATTGAAGAAACAGAAGAGTTTAACACGCCACAGATTATCGACACACTTCATAAAAAGACACACGAAACTTAATTACCGACAATTGAGAAGAAAACTCAATGGAAACTCTAATAATTTTGAAGGGATGTTGGGGAGCCAAGGCGGCCGACGCGTGCGCGACCAGGGACGTTCACCGAATGCGACTCAAGTGAGTGACGCTGGCCGAATCTTTTCAAGGACAGACTCGTTCTCAGCCTCGGGCGTCCGTGACAGTGATCAGTTTCGCAAAGGGTAGCTTTTCCCGCCACCAGAGGGGCTCGCGAGCTAGCCTCCGGCCGGCTTCCGAATTTTGACGATTTGCTCGCACCTTATCTGTTCTGTGATCACACGTTACACTGATGCCAGATTTTTCGAATAATCTCGTGGGGTCTCTCTCGCAGTAAACGACTTATGTGCTTTATACAAACACAAATCCTTAATTATATTAAAATGTCTTTCCTGCCGTTCAAGTCTTCCTTTTAAGTTACTCCTGTTAACTACCTACTCCAACTCAAAATGTGTTTACCTCTCTTCTCTCGCTCATTAAATGTCACACTGTTTTTTCACATTCACATTTCATTCCAAATAATTGAATTAGATCTAAGATGTGTACACAAAGTTTTATCGTTGTTGGGGGTTTCGTCACAAACAAGAACTCTACTTGTGGCTGTAAGTCGTTTCCTTGACGCAACGATTTTTTTTCCCCTCAGCTAAGTACGAAGAACCGCCAATAAAATAGTTTTCCTTGTTGGAAGGAATCAAAATCTCCTCGATAGGTACATAATTAGTAGGCAGGGGCGTAGCTAGGAAATTTCTCTGGGGGAGGGGGGGGGGCATGGGACCACCTCTCGTGGTGAAGAGAGCGGGGGGGGGGGGGGGGGGG